GACGGTTAGCTCGAAGATCGCAATCCGTCTATTGCTAATATGAACGTACTGAATGCTCTACAGTGATCAATTCGTATGAATGAGCGCGACTGTGCTATCGAATTGAGATATGTCTAAGAAAAATCAGCATGTGTTGATTTTCCATTGTGTCTTATATTCGTCATATTTTGACTGGGCGCCTTCATTTTATTCTATTTTTTATGATTCAACCTTTCTAATTCCGTATTGAATTCCTCTCATGATTCACTAGTCGTAATGCAATGAGCATATTAATAATGAAGTAAAGGTGAAAATTGAAAACGATGCTGATTCGTTTTAGACCGGTAATCACCTTCAAAAACGCATCTGACAGTGTTACCTTTCCCTGTACGTTTGAGTCGACCGTAAATTCCTAATCAAAGTGTTAGAAGTGTTGGCTTTAGCTTCAAATAACGTGCTCGATGTTTGCATTTTTTATTCTGTTCAGAATTGTGATGTTTCTGTTCCACTGCTCAATACAATTCAAACTGCAAGCATTATTATGATGCAAACTACTTAATACAATTGCCGGGTGCAATGAAATTAAATGCAGTTCATGGCATAAGTGGAGAATATATTCGAAATGGCCAAAAAAAAAGGCGAACAACAATTTATTTATTAACAGAGCGACAATTAACAGATATTTAGCGTCATCATCAGGAAAACGAATTACATGAAACGACTGAAAGGAGCGAGAAATATTGAATGTTACATGTAGATGTTGGGTAAGCACATTGGTGAATGCACAACAATATTATGTGGAGTATTCCAAAGCAAAGCGCTAAGTTGGAAGGGGGGGTGGTGGCTGTAATTAGTTAAGGGAATACGATGAATTGAAAACGTAATCGTCAAATTTGGGTGAAACTGTATAAGAATCTAATAGCTGAAGGATGATGAAACGAGGAGATAAACAATGTTAATAGAAGAGACATTGCGAAAAATGCACTCATTATCAGGAGAGAAGGACTATTTGCTAGCAGTAGCAAGAGGATGAATTGCATTCATCTCGAACACTCGTTAAGCAGTCTGAGGAGTCTTGTGAATGATATGCCAAATACATCCAGATGCTGCACATTGCTTCGCCAAAACCTCTTCCGCAAGATTGACGATAGACTGAACGATCACACCGTGCAGCGATTCGAATAGCGCTGCAATGTGAATTTGTTCAACAAACAATAGCGAAATGTAAAACTTGTGCAGATGTGGAACCGCTTATACATATATGGGCTGTATTTACTTTCCCTACTCACCCCCTCTCCCCCAGCCACCTTCCAAATATGCTTGGAGCCCGACTACAACCCCATATGTGAACGTGAAGTCTAGTCTAATTTGAGTAAACGCTTTGCTTAGAATACTCCCATGTCGCTGCTTTTTCACGATTACGAATTTTACAGATTGCCATCAACACATCCCTTCAGCACATAATTGGTGCAGGATGATGGACACCGAATTCCTACATAATTGGTCGCCACATATTTTGGTTGGAGACGAACAGTGGGGTGTGCTTACTAGTCATTCCAAACGGAGCTACCAAATGTTTGACTGGCAACAAATATTCTCGGCTAATGAGTGGGGAAGGAATGACTGAGCGGCGATACGGGTCTGCATAAGGCTTAATTTTCACGTGCGGTCTATTCACCTTCTCCTGAAACATCATAGTCTTAAAGACACAAGCCCCATCAACCTGCCACTGCAAACTCTTCACAGGTCACTTCTTACGACACTTTAAAAAGGCACAGAATCAAAGTCAATCACCTGCATGCCTCTTCATCACTGCTGACTCTTCGCTCTGTTTCCGTACACTGTTCCAGCTGTTGATTCATTGTTCCGTTTATCTCCCTAGCAAAAAAACACTCCACATTTGGTTGAATATCTGAAAAACGTTTCAATAATTCAGACTGTTGCTCAATAAGTACCAAGGGAAACTGCTCAAGCAGTACCAATCTTCTTACCTTGGTTACTTACATGGCACCTGTACTCAGCCGCTGCGAAGAACAAATAGTACATCAAGGCATTTTCCTGGTCCCCACCAGTTAACGTCATAAATACTCCGAAATACGTTGAAAACGTTCCAACGTTTGTTGTGATGCAATCGTGCGTGGCATTGTACAGCCTGCAATGAGAATCATGATTGTATTCAGAATCATGACATTGCCATATGGGGTGGGACTCTCTTAAATATGAAAATTCTTTTTTTTTGGGGGGGGGGGGGATGCACGAGACAAACTCATCTACAGCTCGTTTATCGTGCATTTCGATGTTTTCTCCTTTAGAACAGAAGCTCTGTTCTCTAGGAGAAATTGAAGAGCAACAAAGTAAACTGGAAGATAGACGAATCGGTGTTGAAGGCTTTTTTGCACGTTTCTGACAACACCGTACGGTATGATATGACACCTGAGCGATAATCAGTGATCAGATCCGGCGAAACCAGTCAAAATGATGAGATTCGGAATTTCAAAAATGGATTCGGTTGAATTTCAGCCGCAAATTTTAAACTTCGGTCGAGTGTAGCGAGGGATCCTGGAGAATTAGGCCGGTCGGATACCGACCGAAGCAAACTTCTGTTCGGTTGTCACTACACTGCTAGTGCAATAGTGCTTGCAGAATGCCTTCTGAACCGTGTGCTCTTTGCAGTTCTAGACACTTTACATAGTGCTTTTGTTTCGTTTTACAAGCTGCGAATATGAGGCTGCGACGGATGAGAATATTGCAATATTCACTAACTCGCATAAAATTTCCACAGTATCCTTGGAATCTCGCACCGTGTTAACGAAGGCGCGGAAGCTCGGAAGCGTTCCGGAAGCATCAAGGCTGAAGTTGTAGGCTTGCAGATAGTTGCCATAACATTGGCCAGCCACCTGAAATGGCAATTGAGTAACTCATCGAAAAACTTGTTTCCAGATTTTTAGTGGAAAAATGAGACTTCAGTTTGCTCTTGATCCTGTTAGCCTATTCCCGGAACGGGATAGGCAAACCAGATCATGAGATGACAGGATCATGAGATCATGAGATACCTACCAACGGACTGAATGGACAATCATCTATCGGAGATACCTGCTAACAATCATGCGTAAGTGAGTTTCGGTACGACGCATCAGCATTATTGAGACGCCTCGTTCAATTATGTGGTGGTACTCTGTGAAGTTTCAACTAGTCATGTCTCTATATCACTTTTTTGAAAACTGTTCTACTCCGTTCTATTCAACTGCAAAATGGCTTTATTCCATTTTATCCTGTGCGTTTTTTTTTGATGACTTTTCTATTCTATTCTTTTCTAATCTGTTCTCGCGTCCCTTTTTTTGAGGACTGTTCTATTCTATTCATTCGGGCTCCAAAACGACCCTGTTCTATTCTATTCTGTGTGTTCCTCGTTTGCGAACTGTTCTGTTCTATTTGATGGAATAGAACAGGAATAGAGCAGTTTAACTAGAATACAGACATCACTAGTTGCAAGCACTCAAAACGCACCGTTCAAATGCTTGCATGAAGAATGCCTAGACCATTTGACTCAAGCGAGCTGATTGAATGATTAGAGGCACTCCTCGGAGTGCTTTGAGTTCAACTTACTTCACTGTAATTACGTGGCAAGCTGGCTGGCCCTAATCCTTGCTGTTGTTGGAAGCTTAATATTGGGCTGTTGGTATGGTGTGGAATCGCATCGAGCACATTTAAGGCAACAACATCACTGAAGTGGATGATGCTCGAGAGAAGTGCTGCTGTAACGATGCAATTACTGTGAATATTATGCAGAAATATTGAATGAAGTGAAACGAGCCTGCATTCATATGATAAACGCTCAAGCTTACAATAAGACATGTGAGTCGAACTCGTATGGCAGAGCTTTTGAAAACTGTTAGGGGCGTTTGCAGTATGAAAAGTCGTCATTTACGCCGGGTTGAAATTGCGGCTTACCCCGGAACTCGACTGAGGCTTACTTCCAGCTTCGCGGACTCAGCATGACGTTTATTGTGCGCTGTGAATTTTTTTCTAAAACCATTCAAAGACTACGCCGCATGAATCGCAGTTCTATAGGCGAGTGTTAGCCCTTTCCAGTTCTCTGGTTGATTCACTGCTCCTTCCAGTGCAACACTTACAAACGATCTTGATCACAGCGGATCTACCCATTGTGAGAGGTAAAGCCACTGTGAACTATCCATTGAGAGGTAAAGCCACAGCTGGAAGCCACTGTGAGAAGTAAGGAAGCGCGGAATTCACTACCTTATTTAAACTAGTCTCAGCTATGAGCAATGCTCTAAGTACTCCCTGTGCAATACTTAGAGTGGAAAGCTAGCAGAAATTTTTGGACGGTGAAGCTTTCGGCCCGTTGTAACCTATTCCCGCGATTATGGACGTAAGTTACTGGATCATTCGTAAGTATGATTATAGATAAAATAAATAAGTAGCAAAAACCATTACTTACCAAACTGGATAGCAGTAATCGATGCTATTTTGGGTTTGCAGGAGAACATTGTGAGATTAATGTAGCCGTGAAAGAAGTATTATGAAGTAATCCAAGGTTATTGCTCAGCAACACAGAGAGCAATGAACAACAACAAATGAACTGAGCACTCCGAACTGTATTTGACTGTATTTAACCGCATTTTGGAAAGATAAAGAATGGGGTCGTAAAAGAATAATGGCATTACGGTTTGTACATGATTTCCGAAATGTGTTTATAGTTCAGCAGCATCAATAACATCACAAGAGAACTGAGCAAGCTACTGAGAAAGTAATAAAACATTTGCCTACTTTATTCTTTTAATCTTTTCATTTCACGGTTTATGTTTTTAGCGTGAAAGAACTAACAGAATGTCAACCGAGGAATTGAGGATGATCGAGAATCAATAAGAAGGATCCGATTCACAAGCTGCAGAGTGATCATCAATGATACTCCGTTTAGTATTTGCATGAGATCCCTGGGTCCTGACTTTGAGTCCCGATCCTGATTGCGGAAGAACTACGGTGTCCATTCCGGTCATTTCAGAATGGAATGAACACAATACCCTTCGTCAATCGACTGAAATTAGTAGTGGCCTACCAAAATCTGAAACGATTCCACCGACAGTGAGCGAGCCTTAAAGGGCATTTTGCATTTTCTTTATCTGTACAATCAGGATGAGGTTGATGCTGTCTGCAGATCTTGAAGGGCCGTTTACCTGTATGATTTGTTGAATAAATTGTTTCTCATGCAAATCTGAAATTCAAAAAGATTCAAATCTGAAATTCAATTCAAAAAGAATGTATTGAACAGGTGATACGTCTTTACTTCTGAAGATGCTGAATTCCGCGATTATCCCGAGATCGAGCAAAGAACTCGGCATTTAATTCCGATGTCGAAATTGAAAAATGATCAGGATTTTACTGACACTACTCTTAGCTTAGAAGAATGCGATTTTCGGTTTGGAAACAACCTGTCGGAATGCTCGCTTCAAAAAAAAATTGTTGGGAATGTAGCTGCGTTATTTTATATTTCACCTGGATCACCAGATTGCACCATCTTCAGATTTGCGAAGTTCCAAAGTCTCACCACTTGAAAAGGTGTCCTTTGATGACGGGACGTGAAAGTTCGATCATACAATGCAGGCGCAGAATCCAGCAAAAAGGGGTGGTACACATCAAAGTATACTATGTTCTTTGCTTTTCCACGAATGTTTCGCTTGTTATTCAATAATGTTATCGCAATAAAGGTTGAATAAACAGTGATTTCTGATGGAAAGATAAAGAATGGGGTCGTAAAAGAATGATGACATTACGGTTTGAGCATGATTTGCAAACTGTGTTTGTATTTCGGCAGCATCAATAACACCAAAAGGGAACTGGGTAAGCTACTGAGAAAGTAATAAAACATTTGCAGACTTTGTTCTTTTAATCCTTTCGAACGTTTACGTGCATTTTTCAGAATCCATCTCAAAGCTTTTTTTCATTTCGATTTAAC